CTATTCCTATTCTTATTTTATTATTCTTATTTTTTTCTTATTCCTTTCCCCTTTCCTTATTCTTTCCCCTTTCCTTATTCCTTTTTTCCTCCCCCTATTAATAATTTCCCATCCCAAATCCCCTCCTCTCCTTCCCAGCTCCACCTCCAGCCCCTCCCGAGCTGGATTCCACACCCAGCCCCGCTTTCCCTGCAAATCCCTGACTTTATTCCCATTATTTCCACCTTAGGAACTTTTCCTTCCATTTTTCCGGAGGAATTCTGGAGCGGGCACAGGCGGTGCTGCCGCTCAGTGGCAAAACACAGAATTCCCCTTTTCCCCATGGAATTTCTGCCCTTTGGTTTTTTTAAATCAAATTAATTTATTATGCCATAAATACTTATATATTTGTTACAGGTGCTGCAACACCGCTGAATATTTACAATAATATCATTTCAAATATTGGTATAGTCATAGCTATGAATTGAATTTATTCCAAAATATTGACACGTTTATAGCTATAAATGGAATATATTCCAAAATATTGATACTTTTATAGCTACAAACTGTATATATTAAAAAATCTTGACATATTTATAACTATAAATCTTATATATTTCAAAATATAGTCGCATTTATAGCTACATATTTTGTATATTTCCAAATGTTGACACACTGATAGCTGTAAATTTTACACAGTTCTCAATTTTGGCGTATTTATAGCCATAAATTCCTATTTCTGCCGTTAAACGCTGTTTTTATAACGATTTTGGGCCGGTTTTACCGGCAGCACAGCGGGGCCCTCTGGCCACGCCCCCTCCGCTCTGACCACGCCCCCGTGCCATGGCCACGCCCCCTCAGGCCACGCCCCCGGGGAATCCCTTCCCGGCCCCGCCGTGACGTCAGCGCGCTGTGCGTCACGTCCGGCGGCGCACCCGGAAGTGGCGTGGGGCCGGTTGCCATGGGACGGCCCGGGAGGTGAAAGGGGGGGAGAGAGGGGGGGGGGGAAACACCGGGAATGGGATCCGGATCGGGACCGGGAATGGGA